TTGGGAGGCTAAGGCAAGAGAATAGCTTAAGACCAAGAGTTTGAGGTTGCTGTGAGCTATGACATCACAGCACTCTATCCAGGGCAACAGCTTGAGACTCTGTCTCAAAAAACAAACAAAAATTAATAATAATGATAAAATAAAAATCATTAATTTAAAAAAAAAAAAAAGAAGAAACTCAAGGCTCACACATGTAATCTGGGCTCCTATCTCAATAAAACCCAGAAAAATTAGCCACATGTGGTAGCATGTCCATGTTTTCCCAGTTATCTTGGGAGGCTGAGACAAAAGGATCACTTGAGCCCAGGAATTTGAGGCTGCTATGAGCTATGACAACACTATTGCACTCTATCCCAAGCAACAGAGCCAGACCCTGACTCAAAAAAAAACTTTTTAAAAATTACAAAGCAGGGTGGCACCTGTGGCTCAAAGGAGTGGGGTGCCAGCCCCATACACCGGAGGTGGCGGGTTCAAACCTGGCCCCAGCCAAAAACTGCAAAAAAAAACTTATAAAGTATACGGCTCGGCACCCATAGCTCAGTGGTTAGGGTCCTGGCCACATGCACCAGGGCTGGTGGGTTCAAATGTGGCCCAGGCCAGCTAAACAACAATGACAATTGCAACAAAACAATAGCCAGGCATTGTGACAGGCACCTGTAGTCCCAGCTATTTGGAAGACTAAGGCAAGACAATCGCTGAAGCCCCGCCAAGAGTTTGAGGTTGCTGTGAGCTGAGATGTCGTAGCACTCTATACTGAGGACGACATAATGAGACTGTCTCACACACACACACAAAAAAAAAAACATAGGAAGTATGATAGACTGACAACTTGAGCTCCTCAAACTTGCTTTTTTCATACTGAACACTGAGTATAAGTCTTCCGTTACAAATATACAAAAAATATTTTGTCAAAGAAATGAGAAAAACTGGCTTGGCGCCTGTGGCTCAAGCAGCTAAGGCGCCAGCCACATATACCCAAGGTGGCGGGTTCAAATCCAGCCCAGGCCCACCAAACAACAATGATGGCTGCAACCAAAAATAGCCGGGCGTGGTGGCGGGCGCCTGC